TAGCATGGGTCTTACCTGAAGCCCAGAACTGGGCCGACCCGCTTGGACACCCACCGCTTGGACACCCGTAATTTTACTTGGGGCCAATGCATAATAGAAATAATATATGGGGCTTGGTCACATGCTATTTTAATTTTGGGTCTTGACACAATTTTTTCTTATCATTATTATTATTTATTATAATTATTAAGTTTTCTTTTTTCTTTTTCTTTTTCTTTTCTTTTTTTTGGATAAAACATTATTATGTTTTCTTTTTATGATCTCAAAATTGAGTGAAAATTACTGAATGGGAAGGTTTACTTAAGAAAAATATCTGGTTCTTTCCAAAAATAAAATTGTGCAACCCAGATTATTTAGAGTTTTAGTTCGAATCAGGCCATGGTCTAGTCACCAGCCTACTCGGGTTAGTCTAAGCTAAAAAAATCTTTAAAATGTATAAGATAAATAACAAATCTATACTACATATAAAAGAGGATTGCCTTGTTAAAAATTTTTATTTCCATTTTTCCTTTTATGTTTGATAATTCTCAAATAAGTCATTAGTTGTAATTAATCATTCACTAGTTATATATAATCTCTTATTAATTATACATTTTCTCACTTTTTCAAAACCTTTGGGCACACTATTATTTTATTATTTAATTACATTATTTAATAGAAAATTTATCACCAATTTATCTTCACATAATATTTAAAATTCTAGAAAAATTAAGAATAATAAAAATTTATTAGGCAAGCCTTATACCTTTGGGTTTCACCTCTTATTAAGGACCTGTTAACCTTTAATCTTATTAGCCTTTTAAAGTATGATAATTGTATGAAAAACAATTTGTGTTTAGCGTAATTGTAATAGTATTAATAATAGCATTATGATTTTAATAGTATTTGTTAATAGTAAATTACACTGTAATTTAATAATTTTAAAAAAATTATATACTACACATAAAAGAGGATTGGGATATTAAAATTTTTGATTGTTCTTCTTACCCCTCTTAATTTTGATAGTTTCAACTTTAATTAATTAATTAATTTATTTATTTAATCTCAAATTCTCATTCAATTAGTCTTAAATTAAATTAAATTAATTAAATATAAATCATCATAATAATATGATTTAATTAGTTTCTTAAGCTCTTAAGATTGTCTAACTTAATTAAATGCATATGTTATCGATTCAATTTAACTAACCACCCTTTCATGTTTCCCTCTACATAACTTCTTTTACATCTCTAAACTATAAATCATGGTTATCCATTCTCTGAAATTTATTGCATTACCTACTAAGCCAAATTCCTACACAAGCATAATGGTTTATGAAATATTTTAAATGGAAAGTTTATTAAATGGTTTATAGTGTACATGTCCCGTCTATGTATGTGCACGCCCATACAATGAATAATATTCGGCAGATGGTTTGTAGACTAAAATATTTAGTTTTATGGAGTTGAAGACAATGGCTCATGTTCAATTCATAGCCCTTGATTTGTGTTTTATTTCTTGAATCCCTAAAAGGAGAAGGATAATAGAATATAAGCATGTTATTATTTGAAAGTCTTGATATTTAAGAGTATGTATAATAATTATTTCTTTAGTGTGAGCTTTTTTTTACTGTGGATTGGGTAGGATTCTATTGATCTTTTTATACTTAGAATGTATGATTGTATTTTTTGGAGTTTATGCTAAGCTATTTAGATAAATTCCCCTCACGCAAAATTGTAAAGTGCTTTTTGTGCTAATTATCATCAATTGTGCTTTTTCTTTTGAATATAGGTCATAAGTTATACTTTCTTGTTCATTACTTGTAATTATGGTTTAATTCTTAATTAATTACTCAGTGCATATGCACTTTAAGTTTAGAGGTGCTATCACCTTAACTAATGTTTTCAGTGTTTCTTATCTTTTTGATTCTCTTACATCTAATAACCATCGTTTAAATATAATAATATTATCCAATGGTTACAATATTTCTTGTCATCTTTTATATGTAATATAGATAAATTACATTATAAAATTATATAACTAAGTAAATTATTTACTAATAGTGTAATAAACTAATTATTAAATTAATATGTAGTTATTAATAGTCTTATAATTACGCTATGTATAATATTATTATATTTAAAAGAGAATAATTTATTTAATATATTATAATTATTTTAATAAATTATGAATAAACTATAATAATTATACAAATTATAATAATTAATCATACAGTTCTTTATATACAGCTTATCGTACAATTTATTCATTTAAACAAAATTGTAGTTGTTCAGAATTTAAATTTCTATACATGTCATATCATTATTTTGTAGCCGATAACAAAATTTGAAAAAACATTAAGAAAACAAATATGCCCACATGAGAAGCACATGCATTATATATACTAGTTAAAAAAAGAAAGAATATTAGTAATATAGTGAAGGGAAATTACAATGGTACAATTAGAGATAATTCCACCAAAAAGAAAAAGAAATATTTACTATTCCAAAATCAATTAAATTACAAGAAAAAAACATTTATTTTATTTTTCTTTCATTTTAAGTGCAATACTGGGCAAAGCTGGATCATATCTATACACAGAAAGCATTGTACAAATGGTGCACAACTGAATTAAAACTAAATTGATAGTTGGATAATAACTATTGGATAATTTTTTAGTTGCTTTCTTCACATGTGTGTTTCGAATTCTAGCCAAAAGTCAACCCGAGCTACAAGTTTTGCCCAAAAGTTGGCCAAAACTAAGTGAGCCAAAAGTCAAGTTGGAGCTTAACCCGACCCACTTACCCGTCCTAGTTTTCTATCCACTTTCACTTAACTTTAAGACGACTAAAATGGTTATTAAAAAAAGACGACCAAAATGCTGATGTGATAATTTGGCCAATTTTATATTCACTTATCAATTAACAAGCAATGAAAAATAGAACCGAACTCACTTTTAAACTTTTAATCTAGTTTTCATTTACTTTACTATTGCTAAACAGATTTTTATATATATATAGATGTTAAAATTTAAAATTTAAAATCTTAATTTTCATCGTACTTTATCAATTAAAAAAACAACCCCTCATTTCCCAAATTTTGGTATGGTAGCAGAAATTCTAATATGATATCAAATAAATCTAGGTTGTAATATCAACCGTCTAAATACAGAAAAAAAAAGATATTGCTACATGTGTACTATTTTACAAAGAAGATGATGCTCAATTTTACTGAAACATGTTGGAATATAAATTATGGCCCACGTCATAAAATTTGCTTCTAATAGTGGATTACTCGTGACGAGGCTCATCTTTATCTCACATAGAACAAGAGGAAAGAAAATTGTAAAATCAAATTTAAAACATTATATATTAACCTTCGAACATATTCAAGAAACGCAACACCGTCCACAATTCATCACTCAAACTTGTCTTGGAAACAACATAAGGAAGAAAGAAGAAGAAGGGAGGGGGAGAACGTTTGCATCTCACTACAATTCCAAGCAACAAACATTTACTTCCCACTTTTATTACTAAGCCTTTTACGCCGCTCAACCTCGGCAAGTGCAGGGCTTGACGGGAGTCACTATGAACTTCATGAGTCCAAGAGTACAGTGCAATCCCCCACGCTCGGCACACGCAAAGTAGTGGGGCTTCCTCTTCTTTAAAACAAACTCGAAGCCCTGGCCCCCTCCATCCGTCACATTGCCGACCATTTGGGCCTTCTTAAAGTCACAGGCTAAGAAGGCGCGGAGGCTCTTCAGTAGGTACACGCTGTGCGCATGCGTGGTGCTATTTGGAGGGTCATACATAAACACTGCGATAAATTGATTAAGATGTAATATCAAGGAAGAAATTAGGTGGAATATAACATGTATTTTAGTTAAGTACTTAAGTGTATGTGCGCCCCTTTGCTATATATGGACGAATTGACAAATTTGTTCCTCCCGAATAACAACTGATGGATCAAGGATATCAGAGGATATTGTCCCCAGCGGGGAAAGGATCAAGGAGCACTCTTCTCACTTATCAGAGTATAAATCTTATAAGGTGAAGCATTTAAATCGAATCCAAAAAAGTATCCCCACGCAGAAGAGTAAAAACCTAAGCCAATGAAAAGGCCTTTTGGTCTAATGAGGCATATCAGAATATAAAATAATAACACTCACTTTTTTCCATTGCAACTTTGAAAGCATGGCATGTGTAACTTGAATGTTAATAAAATTTAATAAAGATCTTACCCAATTTATCGTTCTCATAGAAGGGTGCAGTCTTGAGAGCCCAGTCTGAGTAGTTGAAACCAAATTTCCAATGCTGGGAACCCCCAACAAGTATGCTTGTTGCAGCCTCGGACGCTGCTAACATGGAAACTATCACAAGAACAATTGCTCCAAGTCTCATGATCCCCATATCTTAGTATTAACAAAACTTGATAAGAGAAATGATGCCTACAATGAGAAAATGCGTTGGGTTTATATAGAGGAGTTAGTGAGGGGTTAATGTTGGTAGTTGTGGTGTTACTGATCCAGGAGTTGACTTGTTATTAGATGGGATATTTTCGGGTAAATTTCCATAGAATTTGTGAAGGGATCAACATTGGGAGTTTGGTTTTCTCCATTACAGGATTTTTGATGTGGATGTGTGGGTTGTTGGGTGAGAGATGTAATAATGACTTCATGACTTGTGGTTTTTTTTGATTAGGCATAAGCTTAACTTTCTGATATCTAGTAGGGTCAGGGGATCTTCCACTTGAAGTTTACTCTTCTTTTGATCTTTGTAAAATATTTGAGTGTCCTCTCCCAAGAAGCAAGTTCATTAAGAAGCGAAGAAAAACATGAATGTGTGCGTGCCTGGGTGGGTGGTTTTGGAGTTGAGATAGTTAGCGTTGTGCTTAATATTGTTGGATTAGGAATGAAAAAGGAGTAAAGAAGAAGAAAATTATTCTCTTGATGCCAAAGGCTTAGGAGAAAATTAATTAAAGCTATGACTTAAATTTCCAACATCACGTAAGCTAGATTTGCCGAATACCAAAGTTTTTATTCATCTTGTTGAAGATGCCTAGTTTTAACGCCTTAGAGAAAATACGAGCAACTCGATCCCTTGTGCCGCAGAAAGAAATTCGACTACACCATATTTTACCACGTCACAAAAGAAATAGTGTTTAATACTTACATGATTGCGTTTGTCATGATAATTGGATTCTTTGTGAGCGTGATGACTGAATTAGTGTCACAAAACAATCCCGTGCTAAGTGCTTGAGTATGCTTGAGTTTATTGGGAAATAGAACCTAGTTAGACTTGTACTGGGGATTGAATTTGATTGGAAATAATTAATTTCAATTGGAATTGAATTCTAACTCTTTAACTATCCCTTGAGGTATTCATTGTAATCAAGACAGAGAAAAGTCAAGAACATTTGCATGTTGTAAAAGAGATAACTAAAGAGAGAAATATAGGATTTTGAGAGATCTTTTAATGAAATTGAGAGAGAGATTGCTTGTGGCTCTATTAAGAACACGTGAAAGATTGTATCTTATAATCTCTAATATAAAGAAGATTCAAATCTTTCCTCGTGGACGTAAGTGATTGTCGAACCATGTAAAACCTCATGTCTTTATTCTTGTGTTTTCCTTTTCTATGGATTATTGCTTTCTCTTTGTTTGAACAAGTTTCTTGGGGTTTTCACATTGCTTGGTAATCGATTGATCTATGAGGAAGGAGAAGATCTAATCTAAGAGTTCAATGACACTTCCACATTGATCACTGATTCAGTATCAGGTTGTCGGTGACTTGCGCCAATACTTGGTATCAGAGCAGTTTGATACACAATAGAGTTCCCTAAGGAGATGTCCTAAATATTTGACATGTTTCGATTGAGTTTTCTTTATTGCTTGCAAATTATACAAACTTTTCAATTTATTATTACAAGGTCACCCTGAGACAGTTTCTGAGAAAGGAGATGAGAGGTTAGTGTGTTAGAAAAGCACTCATTGCAAATGTCCTCTTCACCTTATTTGTGTGGGTTAGTTGAGTACTCTTTATTCATCCAACTTTGTTTCTAGGAAACATGGTGACCACAAATAAAGAAAAGAAAAAGATGCAGGAACTATGGCTTTCTCTTTGATGAAATATTTGTATGAAATTCCTTTTAATATTATATGGGATAAGCGCCCCCCCCCCCTAAATATATATTATTAATGCTTTTAATAAAAAGATTGGGTCACAAACTCCACTCTTTTCATTGATTTAGAATAAAATGATTTAGATATGAAGTAGGTATACAAGAAGATATACATTCTGTTGGATTTTTTGGTCAAAACCACTTTCCAAAAATGAGTTTTCAAATTATGTATTTATTAACTACTGGTACTTTTTAAAACTCCTTAGTAACGTAGTAGAAAGTTAAAGTTTTAATGTTGCAAAAGGTCCTGTGTTCGAGGCTTGCCAACAGCAAGCCGAGGATTGTTTTTATTCAATTAACTCCTCATAAGTTCTAGTGGGTCGTGGGCCGTGGTGTAAAACCCCGTAAAAATTTGAATTATTATGGAAAATAATATTAAATGAGTTTTTATTATGATAAATATCATTTATTAATGAATGAGTATGATAATAATTGATTTGAGATCAATTAAGTGTATATATGAGAGCATACAAGTGTTAAACATGCACACACATACAAAACCTGTAGGCTAGAAAATGACTCAGGTAAGTCGACTTATGCTTGCCTATAAGTCGACTTATAGGGTGCCAGATTCTGTGTAGGTTTTGGTTTCGGATCTGTTTCATTTTGGTTCGGCCCGTTTGCGTATATAAGTGTATATATATGATATTTCTCTATTTTTCCTCCATCTTTCACGTGAATAAACAACCACCCTCTCCCCTCAAAACCCTAGATCTTATTTTGTTGAATTTTGAGAGTTTTGTGAAGCTAAACCCTAGAAGAGGGCGAGATTCTCGGTGTTTGACAAAGGAGGCTTGTGTTTTGAAATATTTTTATCTGGTTTTATTAGTTCTTTTAAGCCTAGATTATGTATGAAGATTATTCTTTTTGAGCCGTATGATAATTTATGTTAAAAAGATATTAAACAGATTTCCAGTTGTGGATTTGAAGTTTTAAACATGATATAACATGAGTTTTGATTAAAATATGTGTTTTTCATGATAATCTTACACATATGACACTTATGGACATGTTAGGGTTATATTTATTTACCAAATTTGAAATTGTGTTTTCATATAGTAGAATTAACTCTAAATATGTTGATTACAAGTTTTACACACGAGTTTTATTGAGGGATGTTTGGTGGAAAAATTCGAAGAAGACAATTGAGAACAAAAATGTGTTATTCTCTCTAAATGATTTAGACAAAGAATAATTACAACGTTCTCAATGCAATTTCTCTCTAACAAACTTAGAAAAGAAATTACAAATCTTCTTGATCGGTTTTCCGATTTACAAAAGAGAGAATGGTCGACTGAGATCCTTCCCTTTGTTTAACCTAGATTCTTCTAGGTGTCGATGGGAGTTTAGATTCTTGTATCCCGCTAACGATCCGAACACTCGCTGGAACGTTGTCTTCGCCTCTTGACTCGACGTCTTGGACGAACTTGCAAGGCAAGTTTGAAACTCTTGATGAGTTGATAACTCTGAACGAGTTTGAAATTCTATGAAAGAGTTGATTTAACCGAAATCGATTTGTAAGCTAAGGATGAAGAAAGCCCCTGTTACCGAAGAATGTTTTGAGCTCTCCAAGGATAAATGCCGATCTCTCTTAAAGATGATCTGACAAAAGATCTCTTCTTTGTTGCTGAAAAGAGGATGAATTGGAGATCCCAGACTCAGTTGAGTTTTTCGCTATTTATAAGGGATTAAGGGGTGTAACCGTCCCATTAATTCTCTCCTTAATGATGGTTTAATAGGGTGTAATCGCCCTCCATAAATCTCTCCATGATTGGGTGGTGATCCCCTCAAATCGTGGGGAGAAAACGGTTTCTGGAACCGTTCAACTCGTGTTTGAACAAGTGAAACACAGAATTTATGTTCTGGGCACAAACTCTGTGTTCTAGACCTAGGACGCAGAGTTGGGCTCTGCATTTGAGCCTACAAATGCACGAATTCTGCATTCTGGACCTGGGACGCAGAGTTGGGCTTTGCATTTGAGCCTGCGAATGCAAGAATTCTACGTTCTGGACCTGGAACGTAGAGTTGGGCTCTGCATTTGAGCCTACAAACGCACGAATTGTGCATTCTGTTGTTGGGACATAGAGATGAACTCTGCATTTTGAGTCCATAAACTCTACGTTTTGTCATTGGGATGCAGAGATGAACTCTATGCTTTGAGTCCACGAACTCTGTGTTTTGTTGTTGCAACACAGAGATGAACTCTGCGTTTTGAGTCCACGAACTCTGCGTTTTGTCGTTGGGACATAGAGATAACTCTATGTTTTGACTCTAGAATACAGAGGCAAACCTCAGGCAGGCTTGGCAAGCTTCAGGCTAAGTCTAATGTTCAGGCGAAGTCCAGTCTTGCAGACGAACTTCAGAACATAACTTATTACGAAGAACATGTCATATTTTTCAAACCGTAAGTCGGAATTAGATGAATTATATATGAAAATCGACTATCTCGAAGAGATGGAGCCGACCAAACCATCCCTAAAGGTTCAGTTTGCTCTCGTACGTTTCACCAAATTCCTCACGGTTTAAGAGATATCTATATTTTGATTTGAAGAGACCGTCAATTTATAGTCTCTTTTGCTAGAGCATTGCAAAGATCGTCGTCTTGTAACCTTCATCTTGGTTCCTTGAAAATATGAGAGTAATTAAATTGCAACTCTCGATGTTGATTGTGACGGCTATTGAATTAGAGCTTTTATCGATCTACGTGAAAGTTTTTAAATTGTAGCCTTCTGGAAACCGTCAAATTATAACTTCTATCATTGGTGTTTGATGGGGATAAGCTATCTGTAATAATTTTTAGATAGCCTACAAGGAAATTTAAACTTCATGTATTTAGTTGAAAATGAAATCCTTTTATAGAAAAACAGAATTTTTCTCGGGTTGGTTGACTGATCATAGGGAATGAGTCGACCGATTTCCTCTGATCGGTTGACCGGGCATAGGTCACCAGTCGACCGATGAGAGCCTTTTGTGCACGGTTTGTGCATGACATCAGTCGACCGATGACACATGATCGGTCGACTGGTCTGGGTTGTTTAGTGCATTTTATTTTTGTTTCACGTGTTTTGTTCACATACACGAAGTAGGAGTTACACATCGAGATACGCGATTCGTTTACGAGGGTATACTTATTAGAGTTTGAGCACGCACGTGTGTTTGGAGGTACGCAATTCTATATTTTGAATTGTCATGTTAGAGAATGACATATTTTGCATTTCATCATATTGTGGATGCTTGAGTGGGGTTAGTTGGTATCTTGCAATAAGACCATGGGAGACTACACTCAGAGTGGGGTTAGTTGGTATGCTACAATGAGACTATGGAAGACTACACTCTATGATGCATCATTCCGGATTGGGATGATATGTCTACATTCCGCAGGACGATTGGGTAAGATGGTGACATCAAGATATTATGAGCGCCTTACAAAAGTATCA